CTGATACAAAGTGACATATATCCTATTTTGCTGGAAGAGTGAATTATATGAAAAGATTATTTTGAATCGCTTTAAGTACAGTTTTGTAATGAATGCTCTTTATTTACCTGTGAATAATGCATTGGCGTATAGCAACAGCAAACCTCGTTTCTGTTAATACTGCCTAGCCGCAGTGGCGACTCGTGACATTATGAATAGGAGGCAAAAATTTTTAAATTTTTCAAGGTCAAACGACTAAATGCATCTGGAAAGTTTTTAGTTGCATTTACATTATAGAAAAACTGATGTTCACGAGCAGGATTTTCATTGAGGTTTTATAACAAACAATACGCAACTATTTGGATATATTATTAATTCCCCTCTCAAATAATAAATAGGAATAAATTTCCACGTCATTTTTTATTATGGAGATCTTCGCCAATAGCCCTTCTAAAACCGTAAATTAAAAAATTATATTATTAATTATATCAGAACTTGTAAAAATTGCATTTACAATAAAATTAAGTAACAAAAAAATAGTGATACATTTACCTAATAATTAACAAAATTGTTTCTACTTGGTTTATGAATATTAAAAAATATGAAAAAATATAAAAACAAATTTTCATAAGGGCCGCCAGCTTTTTGTTTGCCTCCACTTTTAATAAAATATTTTTAAAACATAGTGAGGCCCTCAGTTGCTTCCTGCGACGAGCCGCCACTGCCTAACCGGCAAAAGAACAGAATATGCATTTCGATTCACTCTTAATAAAACTGAACTCCTTGAAATTGAGATAAATCTACACGGATGCTTGAATATTGCATATACCAGATTCATTGTTAGACTAAGAGCACCTATAAAGATAGATTGGAATCTAGGTTTTACAATAGGAGATCCACCGTGGAATATGAACTGCTGAGAGATTATTGACTTAAGTGTGATGATTTTTCCCTTTGTTATGCACATCGCTATCGTAGATCTCTTAAACTGATTTAGTTGCCACGCTGGTTATTACGACTAAGAATGCATTGTCACATTAATTAAACATCATTATTTCTTTTGAATTTTATTCTGTCTTTCTTCGATCATTGGCACAAAAACAAATGTATGTTAACCTTAGTTTACCATGCAACTTGTGAAGATCAACTCCAAGGTCACCATGTACTTGTGTCATTCAAAATCCTACAAATTTTGCTTGAAACATTTTTCTCCATAATTCGATCGAGTATATCAGAGAAAAACTAGTTTGGCTTACAAATAACCCAAGGACATACCGGAAAAGTTCTTTGACATCATATTCGGACATTTGTTACACTCTATCGACTATTGGTATCCAAGGTAACCAGTGCATTGGTTCCTTGATTTTCTTTAATTTTTATATGAACAATGACCCTAAGACTTTATAGGTTATATCTTACTCATACTCGAATTCTGACCTGACGTCCACCAGTTTCTTCCCATCTTTAGTAGTTTCTGAGATGCCCTGCATTTATAAATAACAAATTGTCTTTTGTTTTAGCTGTTGGCATGCCTGCGGACCGAATAGAACCAGGCTACTCCCTCGGTGCCGTCGCGACACTCCGAAGGAACAAGCAGAATATCCGGCGGGTGCTCAGTTCGGCAAGCTAACTGTGGCTGAAGACCGGATTGCGTTCTGCAAACTACCATAGAATCCTAACCGGTCTTCCGCTTTGCATTTACCGCCGTTCAGCGGAGCTTATTTTGTTTCAGGATTAAGTCTTCGCGCTCGCGATGTTAAATACGAATATACAGAAGGATTTTCCAGACCTCAACATGCTATATTTTGCTTACATATTTTAGGGAAAGGAGATTACTGTTAGCGTAAAAATTAAAAGGCGAACTATGGAACTGAATTGAAAATTCAAAAGGCTTGTTTCACACATTTCAGTGAAAAGGTCCAGATAAATAAGTACCTAAAATATTTAGTTCTCGATACACAATGTGTTAAAGTTTTCATAAAAGAACAAGTTTTCACCCATGTTCCGAATCACAACAAATGCTCTCAAATTTAAGATTTCTGTCAAATCGCTTGACAGGCTCAGACGCGTTTAAAGATGACCGAAATCCAAAGATGTTAGATGTGCGAAATATACCAAAGAGCCATTTAAGGACTTGGTGAACTTCATTTTAAAAGGGTCTGAAAACTATTAGTACTTTTCCCTCTTCCACTAATAAAATTAATTTATTTTAATAATTCATCAAAAATTTATTTTTGTACAAATATAAGATGTATCCTGTAATCAAAGTTTTAGTTATAGAAACAATTAATATAGTACATGTCAATGCGAGAGGATTGACATTTTTTTATAAATCATTTTTGGAGGTACATTATTTTCTGAAATATATGAAATCGATATGACTAATAACGTAAATAACTAATACCCTTCATCTTTGCCTACTTTTTTAAAAATGGGTATTGCGTTTTTCTCGTTAAAATTGGCCAAATCCCGTTCCCCGCTTCCTTTATAGAAATACATCCTCATATTTAATTCACTAGTCTATTAACATGTTCTTTGTTGTTTCAAAGAAATTTTAAGAGCCCGAAGAATTTCTGTAAAGAAGTTTATGCCTTGTAAATTCATAAAGTTCCTCAGTTAAGCCGACAAACTCGTATTAAGATTTGCATTAAAAAGTATCAAAAACTTAAACTTCTGGAACTGCCTCAGTAACCCTTATCTTCCGTAAAAACGTACAACAGTTGTAAAAAATATAGAAACATTTTAAATTACGCTCAGATAAAAACATCCACATATCAGAAAAAAGCGGGGAATGAAAAATATCATATAAAACAATGCTACTGTCTCTGACTAATGAAATTGTCAGAAACTACTCTGCGAACTAAGAATGATATACAGGGTGATTCACAAATGGTGATCAAAAATGACACCTCGTATTCTTTGATGAATTTTAAGGGGAGTCTTTCCTATAAAGTTTTTATCTAGGACGCTTCGTTAAAAAGATACAGGGTGTTAAACTTAAAAAATATTTTTAATTTCTCTAAATAGTTTAAAAACTACTAAGTGAAATAATTTGAAATTGGGCACATGTGTTTATGTAAACACTGTCCAAAATCTGAGGGCATTTCCTAAAATTTACATGCTCCAGTGGCGGAGATAAAGGGTATCGGTGGCATATTTTTCTAAATAAAATAGTACGCCACTGCTTTACGCTAACAACCATGATATTTTCGGATTTGTCTTTCAATTTTCTACAAATTGCTACTCTCTTTTGTTTTTCGAGAAAAGCCTGATTTTCGAGTAAAACTTAAAAAGCCAACTAAAAACACTTACTTTAATGACATGACAAACACTAACCATTCGGTTATTTATTCGAATAAAGAATATATAGAAATATGTAAAAAAATAACTTTTCAAATGAACGATAGCTTCATTTATTTATTTAATAATAGTAAAGTAACTCCGAAATTGAAATTTTAATTAATATTTCGTTTAACTATAATTTTTGTAAATTAAAAAAATTAAGTATAAAAGACGCATTTTTTCTGGGGTTCAGGGCTATTCTACGAATTCGTAAATATGCCCATTGTTATTTTTTCGTCGAGCTACCCCAGTTTTAAAAAAATAAGTTTCTACGATGAATAGAAGCCGAGATATTGCAAAATTTTACAGCGCGCATCAATTTGAACTCGCTTGGACGAGCTTTCCCCAACACCACGGCCGCCGCCGGTCAGTTTACTTAGCAAGTTTAAAGGGCTCGTGAGTCGTTAATTTTCCACATTTTTCAATGCAATTCACGGGAAATCGTAGTTTACGTCGTAAACTTTATTTTGCGAAAGATTCAAGTCTTAATGTTTATAAACAATTGCACTACGATTTAAAAATAAATTCTTGTCTTGGCTCCTGCTGGTCGTAGAGGGTGTTTTTTTTTAAATTTGTATTTTTTGCCAGCTGTCCATTGCATCTACATATTTTCGGTGAGGTAGCATAAATAGCATCAATTTTATTCAAATTGTTTATAAGCGAAAAACGCAGGGTTTTTTAATGCACAATTTGAGAATGTTAATGTCATAAAAATTGTGATATTTTTTAATAGGTCGCTTAATTACGTCTTTAAGATTACAATGACGCTTTCAGAATCATGTTTGGTTGAAAATTAACGCCTGTACAGATGCGCAAAGTTAACTTAACATAACTTTTGGAACCTGCGCTATAAACAAATTGAATGGTGCGAAAACTATTGCACCTACAGCGACCACTTTTGGCACACTTTTAAAGTATGACAAAACCCTCAACTTGTCATAGGTTTTATACAATTTTAACAATAAATGCGATAGTTATAAACAAATTAAAAAATGGACACTTTTCTTGCTTTTTTGCAATAACTTTTTTGTTTATTAACCGATTTTAATTTAATAAGTCTCATTTTGTAGATAATTTTATTCCCTACAAGATGTATGGAATAAAAGCTGTACGGCACTTTTCGCTAAAATTGATGGTTTTCCCTGCAAAGTGAAAAAACTGTTTTCCTCACTTGTTTGTTGAAATAGAAAAGTTAGCTAATGTCTTAGATGTCTTGTATTATGTTCCTTTAGACAATTTTGCAATAATCTCGCGGATAGGAATTTTTTCGAGTAAAAATTTTATTTGCTTGGCCTAATAATGGTAGTTGCCAATTATAATTGCTGGCAATAAAAATTTGCAATTTGTACGAAGCCCATGCGCAGTGACAATTTTTCGATCGACTGTTGCAATTTTTATCGCAGTTGTAGAGAATACGTCTCGATTTTTATGTGGATACATTTAAAATGGTAAACAGTATGCAACATTCCGTTAATTAAAAGTAAATTTTCGCTAACGCAAAGTAGGAAACTTATAAGCTACAAGGTACTTAAAATCACCTCGCTGCATCGCCTCTCGAGCGTTATCAGTGTAGTTTGTGGAGTGTACATTGGATTAAACATGTACTCTTACATAGTTCCGGAACTTCATATGACAGAGGTTGACAGTTAATTTGAAAATTAACTTATATAGCACAACCCATGCGAACAATTCTCGTTGTATATTTATTCAGTGCCGTAACAAGCACATTGTCCCAAGAAAACACGAAATGCCGAGATAGGAATCGACCAGTTTCCACAGAGAAAGCGGACCTCTACACAGTAATAGATGCAACGCTTAACCAAAAGCTAATACTACAATGCCATTATTGCAACGAAAACGACGACTCGGAGCCAAGGAACTGGTATAAAATAGATAAACTGGGATTAACCCAGCCCCATGAAGTCTCGCTTAGTATGGAAAATGAAATGGAATTAAACAGAGTGCTCGTAAACTTGGAGCACAGCCTGATTATTAAGAATTTTTCGGAAACAGACACCGGCCTTTATTACTGCCTGGGATTGGAGCACACGAATCAGGACGAGAAGTACAATTACCTGGTGGACCTCCTCGTGGATAACGTGAATGTTACTGAAATAGAAACTGGAAATTTGACGGCTTGGGCGAAGTACCACGACGATTACTTTTCTTCTATCAATGCCTTGTTCAAAGAATCGCATGGTGTGGAATTTCTACGCGTAAGGGAATACTTGAAACTCGACTTGGAAATCGTCACGCAGTGGGATCAGTGGGGAATATGCCAGGTATGTGGACGACCTAAAGATGAGGGCATAAGGAAGAAGAAAGGGTATTGTAGGATAAAACTCACAAAAAACGGTCAAGGCAACTCCACGGAGAATCCCGACGAAATCTACCTTCAAAACGCAAACGCAATATCCTGCCGGTCAAAGAGACTCCTCGCGATATTCCCTGAAATAAGCAACTTAACTGTGGTGATCCCAGACTTTATACTAGACGAACGGTGCGAGGGAATATGCAACCCAGACGCTGAAGGCACCAACGCGGGCTGGAAAAAAGGAAAAATCAAAGGATTCAAATACCGGAAAATCTTCGTACTAGCGGAAAACTCCCACGTGACCCTCACATGTCCAGAATCTACCCTGGAAAACGAAGTGGTGTGGCGAAAACGCGGAAAGGTTCTGAAACCTGGCGACCTGAGTAACCCGCACGTTATCCTCAACACCTTCAGCAGCCTGTATCTGATGGACGTGACTCCCGAGGAGGCGGGGAATTACACGTGTGAAGTAGACGATATTAAAATGCAACAAGTAAGGGTTTATGTGACGCCGAAATCTCGCCTGTTAACGCAGGAATTTACCAGGCACTTGACGTATTTGGGGTTTATACTGTCGCTGACGACGACTTGTTACTGTGCCGGCCTGATTATTACCTGTCACAGGCGCAAAACTTTTAAGACTTACGAGGATCTGATTAAGGAACATCCGGAGGAGACCGACGAATTTGCAAGTTTATTATGAAATAAGAAACAACTAGCTAATTCTGTAATAAGAGATTAAAAGTGTTATCTATTAAAATTGTTACGTCCTTAATACTAGAATAAATCGGTTTCTCAAGTGAAATTCTATGTAAATTTTATAATTTGTGTTTGAATATTCCGTTTTAGTAAATTCGAAATCGGTCTGCGTGAAACGATTGAAACTTGAGACACTGTTAAAGTAATTAAAATTCACCAAAGAATACGAGGTTTTGGTCACCATTTATGAATCACCCTGTATAATAAATGTACCGAGTGCCCCGAACTTAATGCAACAAAATTTGGTCACAGAGTGGCCCAATCTTTCGGACTTACAGCCCCCTGAAATCCGCCTCTAAGATTAGTTTTTTTTATATATCTCAGAACCCTGTTCACTGTTGTACGAGAATCACTAAATTTGGTAACAGTGCTATGCTTTTTGGCGAGTTCCCTTGTCTTATAGCTGTTTTACATTGACAATTTATTGATCAATTAATTCGTGAAGTCGCTTCATCAAGAAATTGGACAAGTGAAATGCACCAAATCTGCTGTCAAATAACTTCATGAATTTATTCACCAAGTTCTTGACGAATTAGAGCATGTTCTAATTTTCGTCAATTCATCAAGAATATGAACATAGCTCGGCAGGCTGGGTCTAGGGGTTCTGATCAAAGGTCTGCCCCCATAGAGCTTAGCCCGAGAAAAACAAGGGCAGGCCAAAGAGCTAAGTTTAAGAAAGTACATAGTAACTCAGAAACGGACGGCGACCACACCACATAGTCCCGGCATAATAACCGCAACCCAAAAAGACATTGTGAAGATATTATCTTTGTGATGTTTTTAAATATCGGTGTAACTTAATTGTAATGATCTTTCAACATAGCCCTACCTGGTGTCACGACTACGAACAATATAAAGGTGTTATTTATTTTCTGTTGTTTTTATTGTTTCCCGAATTGCGTTCTCTTGTTGATTGGTAGCAGTTGAAGTGTCAGTTGTTATCTGTGTTCGATTGTCGGTTGATTGAAAATTAATTATTAATTATCATCTCTTTTTTTTGTTGTTGTTTATATTAATGTTATTGGTAAATAACTATTTGTGACATACTATTTTCTTTACCATACGAAATGGTGAAAAAAATGGGTCACGATTTTAATGGAATTTTATTTCTGAAATCGCATATTAATAATAACTGTTAATAATTTTTACTTAGCTATTTGCGTTTACAATTTCTTATGAACTTACACAAAACTTGCGCAATTTATTGCGAGATATAAATTACATCTTGTAGAACAGCTAAAACATTAGAGACCGAAGGATAAAACGGGTAGTTGGAATATTTTAGGTTTGTCCACAGACGCGGATTAGCAAAATTCCGGTTGCCAACGCTACTCAGTCTGAATATTCCCAAAAAAATATTAATCTTAGGATTTATGAAGAATCACAGTTTACACAGCAAATCCCATTATTCCTGCAGCGATTTTAATTAGTGAGAATTTATCTCGCAAAGCTCTGGATTCCTTTTCCGGTCTCCCCTTTTTATGTACAGATACTTAAAAACTTTTTCGTTCGCTTTTTTATTTATTTTTTTCCGGCGACAACCTAAATGGCATTATTTCAAAATTTGACACCTATTTATCCTGTTTTATTTAAAACAGCTCAATTAACTAAACGCCTCCGTTATTTATACTGACACAATTTTAGTTAGAATATACGAGTATTTTATAGCTATTAGAATTCCAATAACTTTCAAGAGATTCTTGCAATTTGAAAATTTATCACACAACTTTTCAGCTATCAGAAAATTAATAGATAAAAATCAATTCCCACGAAAGTTTGAAACGTCTGAGGATCAATTCAGTCTTTAGTCCAAACAACTTGCGACACTTTGAAAGCGTACTTGGAAATTTCTTACATCTCGACGTGTTGTAAATACTTAGGGATTGTAGTATAACAGAGACGTCTTGTTTCAAACAAAAAAGAACCGACCATCATAGAAAATATGTTTCTATATGCGCCGTTAAAATCTTCTACATCGTCTAAGTTTTGTTTTGTGAAACAAAATTTACGAATTACCAAGTTAAGGAAACAGTGGAAGAAATTACATTCACTTAAGCATAATTGACTGTAATCCAAAAAGAAAGAAATTAATTATTTATTAAATCAAAATGATTAAGAAAAAATATTTCTTTCATTTCAATTTCAAAATAAAACTCTTTTATTGAGAGAAATGAAGTCATCAAAATTACGTAACTGACTGGCATTACGCCACTTTCCCCTAAGTATATTAATATACAGGATGATTCACAAGTTATCCAAAAAAATTTGAGAATAGATGAGGCATGAGAAATGGAATCAATATTTAAAAAAAAATTTGTAAAATTCTTATAGTTTCCGAAGTTATTGAAGTTGTAGTACATTCAACCATTACATAGCTGGACAACTGTAGTCTCTAGCATCATTCGCAATACGCGTAGAGAGCCACGTGGCCTCAGCGACTCCGAATACTGAAATCCGATTTTACAATCGTCGTTGTGTTAGTGTTTACTTGTTATCTGCTGGTTATCTGTGGTGTTTACAATAGTTTTTTAGTAGTTGGTGCCAAAAATGGCTTTGCGTGTATAGCAACTCGGAGTTTGATGGATATCGTTTTAATTTTTGTATTATGGTGAAGCATTTACCAGTCGCATTGTGCGAGGTCAGGTTTTACAGTGGACCAGTTTCCAGTACCGTTCAGAAGTGTATTTTTAAATCATTTTCGAACTGTCCTTTTTGATTTTTTCTTTACAAAATTGTATTTGTAAGATTTTTTTGGATCCGAACACCCTATATACTTTTCTGAAGTTAAAGGTATAAAATAATCTAACATTGAAATCTCTGATAAATTACTAAAATTTTTAACAAAAATCTAATCATGTATAACAGAACTAATAATAATGTTTGTCTGATATAGGGACAAGTAATTATGCTATTTTTTTTCTATTTTATGCTCTCCTTGTACCTGTATTTCATTTGTGGTACGTCGCACGCTCAATTCATCTAATCTCTCCCATACTTTAAAATGGAAGACGCAATAAGGGAAGGCCGCTGTAAAATATGAGGTAGACACTTTCTTCTCCATTGTTACATGATATATGACGTAAAAATCTTTATTAGAAAATATTTCTCGGTGTTCATCTTCTAGATTGTACGTCGGAAACGGATATTTCGGTGTTCTGTTTTTAAATTAATTTTCGACATACATTTAATCGATAAAAGATTATATCGGTTATTACAGGCGTTTGGCGGGATGCCAGGAATTCTGGCAGGAGCCGAATGCATCCTACTTTCCTGTTTCGGGAAATAAAACTTGTTGACCTTTTAATCATGTTCCATCGAGTAATTATTTGTAGACTATCTAGACAAGGGTTTCCAATGTGAGATTTTGGTGAACAGGAATGCCAATGCAAATATTTCAAATGGATATTCGCGATTGCGAATTTGCCTGTGCAAATATTTCTTAATAGCGATAAGAGTTTCCATGGCAATTTTTTGAAAACTTGGTATTAATGGAGGATGTTTGAATTGTCAGTGTTGCGAGAAACAACTACTCCGAGAGGTATATGCCCTTACCGGCATTGAATTTTACTCGCAACACCTAGAGCAACAGCTAGAAACACCTGGCTGTTTGTTCATTTATGATTACTCTATTTCATGCTGAAGTAATGGCAGTCAAACTTCTTACACCCTGTACTCCTGGTTGTTATTCTTCTCTGTAGCACCGCGTAAAAGCCTGCGCCCCTCTCGAAAAAATGAAAAGCGATGGAAAAACGGTTGGGGGTTACTGATAATGGAATTAAGACTACCGCTCCCATGTTAATTAATCAGGGAATATCAGAAGGTACTCACTGTTCTAGATACCTAAACGGAGACAATAATAAAGAAGATACAGAGAACAGTGAAAAGCATCACCAGGGAATTTAGAGATTAAATATTTGTTTTTAATTTCTAGAGAGAGTAGGAATTAATAAATCGTCAATGAAATGGAAAGAAACAATTTTTTGTATTTGCCTCAAAAGAATCGGTCTAGGGGTTGATTGACTAACTTATTTTTACTTAATCAGAAATATTTCTCACTAGGGAAGCTGACAATTTTTCATTTAAAACACCTGTTTTAAACATTTTTAAATAATTTAATATCTTATTTTTTCATCGTATCAAAATATCCAATAGATCTTTTTAGTAGTGACGTCACATACGCCAAATAATAGGCAACTCCATAATACACATTGTCATGAAGAGTTTCTCAGTATTTTTACTAGATCGATTTTTGACCTTATGTACTTTGGAAAGTGCCAAAAAAATGCCTTCTTTATCATGACCTTAAATATCGCGTTAATATTAGAAATATTTCAGAAGTTTCAAACCCCAAGTGACAAATTAAAAGAATTATAGAGTTTATATATTAAATTTATAGAATATTAACTTTTATAGTAATTAAAAAATTAAAATTATATCAATGTTATTGAGCATGCGCACAAAAGATTATTTCATGTATGGAAGTAGCCTCGCAACAGGTTATCATTCACTGAAAAGTTTGGTTATGGTTAAAAGTACGTCTATAATAAACCACTTGCAGAAATAAATACTCGATAAACACACTGACAAAGTACAGCACTAATAAAAACAATAAAAATACTTAGTAGAACTAACCACCTGCGTATGAGGCTATTCTTCCCAAGCATGCGCATTAGGAATAACATAACTAATGTTAAATTTCTACTTTATTTAATTTTAGGAATATTCTTTTATATCGTTTTTTGTAAGTTTTAAGCGTAAGTGTATCTATTTTACGAAACACATGTTGGTTGTTCTTAAATCCTTCTAAATCCTGTAAAAATAAATTAATTTCAAGTTGTTCTTTTTTATAGTATCTATGTAAATAGCACAGAAGGATCAGATTCGGTCCGTCCAATTTCAACTATGACAAATAGTTGCGGGTTGCCTAAATGTCCTGCTGAATTA